CTTCTGTGAAGGAAGCCTGTACCTAATTTGTGATTTAAAGGAAGCTGCTTCATGATCTGACTCCATCCAACTGGTTTTGCTCAAGGCTGGCTGCTTTGTGTCTCTGTTTGAACCACGGGCTGGACGTGATTTTCCTAGTGCAGTGTCAAAGGTCATTCTTTCCAGGACAAGAAGGAACACTCCATGATTGAGAAAGACAAAAAAAAAAAAAAAAAAAAAAAAAACAACCAAAAACAGTGGAAGAGAAAGGATAGTAGCACAACTGGAAAGAATTAAGCTGTGGCTTAAGATGTTGGAATGCAGATTTTGTTGGGAAAAATGGAAAGTTTCCAGTTTTCTACACTTGAACCCAAACCCCCTACAGTGTCAGGAAATCAGGAACTTAAACTGTCACAAGAAATAGAATGAGCTTTAAAAAAAAGCCTCTATCACTTATCTGGGAGAAAGCCCGCGGGCTGCCAGTTCCTTCAATGGGGTGTGGTTTTCGAGGAACAAAATGAAGAGGCAGGAAATCTTGGTGTGAAGAGAACATTATCATGTCCAACATGCCTTTCTCTCTTGGATTAAAATCAAATTATATCACCATCTTTGCCCGCCGTGCTTAGAGGAACTGTCTGATGACCCAAAGTGGATTATCTGGAGCATTAGCTAGACAACAAGCACACAGTCCTTCGCAGGGAAACAGACAAGCTAGATGGTTAGCACCAGGAGGCACTGAGCTTGTATCAGGAAAACAGCAAGCCAACGGAAAGCTTTTTAAACTTCTTGAGAAATCTTTGGGTCTACTGTCTCTCCAGTCTTAAACTTCAGGGCAAACATGTACAATGTTGGGTCAACTTTGGCTGGTCACCAGGACTGAACTGGATATGAGCCCAGAGGGCGTAGTGATGGCCCTCAGGCCAGATCAGGCCCAAGCCAGAGAAGCTTTCCATCAGCTGCCTGCACATGACCTCAGGCTGGCCAAGACTCACCCTCTGCAGAGGCCATTCTCCTGCCCGGGACTCACCCCAGAAATGGGAGGCAGCATTCTCCAAGAATAGCTCAAGGTGCCCTTCAGAAGCTCGGGGTGCCCTTTTCCTTCCTTCCTTTTTTTTTTTAAAGATTTATTTATTTGTGCATACAGAACTGGGGTACAGGCCAGAGGCTCAGGGGTGGTGAGAGGCTTCACCAGAGACAGAGTGGGGAGCAGAACAGGCAGATCCAGGAAGTACACTGCTGAGGGGAGCAGCGGGCGGGTCAGGAGAGGTCTGCCGCGCCATGTGGTCACCTCCGGGCAAGCGGGAATCAAACTCATGCGGAAGTGGCTTTAGCTTCTTAGTGCTGTGCTTTAACCTGCTGCGCCACCAGGGAGGGCCCCCCTTTTTTTTAATTAATTATTCATATAGTAATTTTGTATTACAGACCTCTCCTCTCACCTGCTGCTCCCCTCAGCAGTGTACCTGGATCCTCTCACTGCCCCTGCACCCAAGTTCTATATGCATAAATAAATGAATCTTAAAATAAATAAATAAAGAGCTGCTGGATGAAGCTTGCCTTTTCATCAGCACATTGCATTTGACCTCTGACCTAATTTCAATTTCCACCATGTTAAGAAAAGGTTCAACTTTGTATGCTAGTGAATAAAGGACTAGCCAACAAAATGCGGAAACATGTCGGCTCATAGAATGGGATAAGCCACCATTTTAGTAAGTCCCTCATTTTCTAGACAAGGGACATCAAGCTCAGAACACAGACAGACCAGGTTCCAGAATCAGCCCATGAGCACAAATCAAAGATTTTCAGTAAAGATACTCAGTTGTGGGCCTCCCTGGTGGTGCAGCGGGTTAGAGCACTGAACTAAAAAGCTAAAGCAACTTCCGCATGAGTTCGATCCCCGCCTGCCCCGGAGGTGACCACAGGGCGTGGCAGACCTCTCCTGACCCGCCCGCTGCTCCCCTCAGCAGTGTACTTCGTCTATCTGCCTGTTCTGCTCCCTGCTCTGTCTCTGGTGAATCCTCTCACCCTCTGCATCTCTGGCCTGTACCCCAGTTCTGTATGAATAAATAAATAAATCTTAAAAAAAAAAAAAGATACTCAGTTGTGAGGCCACAATCAAATCTTGGAGACCTTTCCTAATCTCCTCAAGAAGATGGCTCTTGTCTCTTTATGCCTAATCCCCACCCCCACAGCCTGCAGTTAAGAGTGAGGTCCCTTCCAGACTCCCGCCTCCAACCCCTCAGGTGACACTCTGCATCACGTGGTTACCTGTAAGTTTCCCAGTAGCAGTCAGAGCTCTGTTATAGAGTGTGCAAATGCCTGCTCGCTCTCTCTCCCTTTCCGGCACACACACATACACTCACCGTACCCAGCCTATCAGGAGAGCATCAACACAGACTGAAAAGGCTTCGAACCCAGCATTTATGGCCACAGGTATGGCACCGATTTTGAAGGCTGCAGGGAAACTGTGCATTATCCTTCACAACAATATATTATTTTGGAAATCAATATCACTCTTTGAACAGACGTTCCTATCTGTGCTTCTTGAAAACAGTATCGAAGAATTCAGAGGTAAAAATCAGAAGACCAAGGAAGTGAAGAAAATAACTATCATCAAACAGCTGTCAGGAAGCCTAATGTTTTCTTAACTACGAAGGTTAAACACAGTTCAGGAGAACAGTGGGGAGAAAGTCAGAGAAACCTTTTTGAATGGTTTTCTCTGTGGCCTGTGTGAGAAACCAGTGTCCTGCTCTCCTGTGCCAGCGTGCTGGATAGTGGGCTATCCGGGGCATGATGCCAGCCAGCAGCACAACCGCCCCAGAGGCCCGAGAATGCGCTGTGCAGATGGCTCCCCCTGCGGCTCTGGCCCTGGAGCGCCGAGAGGCTTAGCACTGACCGTTGTGCTCACATCTGGAAACCGTGTGGGTGATGTGAGACCAATTATGCAGCAAACAGCTCTGAAATACATTTCGGTGTAACTAATACCCACAACAAATTTAGTCGTTAATATGTTTACTCATCATTGACAAAACAAGTAGTAAAAATGGATTCATGCAAACAAACAGCAAAATAAGACATTTCTTAAGTTTTCAGGTATGCCAAAAAAAAACATCTTTCCTAAATGGGGCCTTCAACTTCAAGAGTTGGAGAGAGATTCCATACTAATTTAGCCCAGTTGCTAAAAATCTGTTTCATATGAACACCACATTTTGTCATCCCCCCCCACCCCCCGAATTTACCCTCAAAATGATAGTAAATGCACTGTGACAAAAAATGCATAAAATACTGGCTGGCCTGTACCAACAGAACCTTCTGAAGGAAATAGCAAAATGAAATGAAAATCCTAAATCCCTGTAGAAATGTTTTGAAGCGTAAAGCAGACATGTTTAAATGCATCAAGTCTCCCCACCCCTTCCCCAACCACTGCAACACAGATCATACAGCTTTGTGTTTTCTATTTTTGAAAAGGAGGGGGGAATAATATGGGAACTTAAATCCAGACAAGAAAAATGCAAAGATTATTTAACACATTTTTAGCTTTCCATGTTCACAGCCACTCAAATTAGACTGTGACATGACTGACTGTAAAATAATAGTAGGAAGAAGTGATAATCTTACAAAACATAGACTTCTGAGCAGAAAGGATCCTAAATAAATTGAATTGAAATGATTTCCACCCTGGCTCCCAAGAATGAAAGCCTCCAAAGCAAATGTCTAGAATCAATTTACCCGATTTGCACATTACCTTAACTGAATTTCAAGAATGATCTAATGCCATATTTGAATTAACAGGCAGAAAATTAAAATCGGATTGATACCTGGTGCTTCACTGTGCAGGAGAATACCTCAATCTGTTTGTCTCACTATGTTGGTAAAACAATGCCAAGCAATTCAACACAAGGGAATAGAATCCAGTTGTAAAAGATATTGATACATCAGGCCGGCGATAATTAACTTGGAGAAAATAATTCTGTGCTACTTGAAATACAAGTCAAAAAGTATGTCACAAGAAGACCTACTGTGCAGAGCTAAACCATTCTCATTAATGTGTCAACCATAACATAGGTCAAGCATAATCTCTCAGCTGATATGGTCAACCTCAGTTAGGTTCCGGATATGCTTCCCCATATTAAAAGCACCAGAGAGTGAGCCCCCATAACAAAGATAGGCATTGTACCTCCGTAATATCCCTTATAATTTGGGGGGGGGGATCTCTACAATACCGTGAAGATTAGCTGACCCCCCCCCCCCAACATCTTTCATCACTGATGGCACTGATGTCTGACAATGGGCTATCACTCAACACAAGACTTCAAAAACAAGTCATTTAACTGTATGTAACATTAAAATAAAAGGAGCCAATTAATCAGTTCAACTTTCCACTCCCCTGAAACCATTATTTCCATAACCAAAGATGTAATAAGTCAAAAGTCTCAACTACAGGGAAGTAGTTGAATCCAATATGGATTGTTAAACACTATTCAAATGCTTCATCAAGAACATCACTGCAGCCAATCTTTGACCTGAGATGCAGTGCTTTACTCTTATTCTTTAAACCATCAAACATATCTCTTCCTCTACTCTGAAGCACAGAGGGCTAGTTTAATTTCTGCAAATCTGTGACTGTGGTGGCCCTGTGTGCTCATGTCGTGAAGTCCTGGTGCGCCCACTTGCAAAGTCCACACGGGACTTGTCACCTGTGGCCCAAGGATTCCACAATGTTTCCCACACTTACATGCAAGATCGTCCCATAAAGACTTCCCACAGTCAGCTGCTAATATTTTCACAAGTTTACATTTGTTTTATTGAGACGTTAAAGCCCATCAAAACCAATCTGCTCTGCTGTACAATTGCAGCAGTGTGACAAATAATAAACAAACAGGGGAGATCCTTCACCTTCTCGTTTTTAAGAATCTCATATACTCCTATTCAACAGCTCAGAACCAACACACACATTTTACTCATCTTCCCAAAGTAGCCACTGCTATGAAGAGAGGGTGAGACAGTGAAGACCAGATGCCTACCTTCACTCGTAGCCACATTCTTCTGGGCTTGGGTTGGTGTGTGATCTGTGCTTGAACTCACGTCGGATGAGATGCTTGAGCTCCCTTTGCCTAGAGGAGATAGGAGTCAGTACTGTAATTGCAGAACTGAACCATGCCTCCCACACTCCCCCACATCAAGCCACATCGCTTGATTCCAAGAAAGATGTCATGTCCAAACAGACAGGGTTAGGTTTTGTGGCTCATGCCATGTCAAACCCATGTCGTCATAGAATGGAAATCATATTACAATAGAGCCTGACTATCAATGCAGCAAGCTTATAAAACTTAATCAAATATGGTGAAGCTATGTCACTTAGGCTCACATGTGAATCAGAACATATATGTGGGAAACAAGTCTATAACATGGAATTTTTGTTTGCAATGATAAGCTGTACATTTCCCAGTAATGGCTAAGTAAACCCAAGTAAACCTAAGACAGAAGCATCATCCAGGGAGAAAGGACCTGTGGGAGCAAATAATTGCATCACTTTAAAATGAATCCCTTTTTAAATCTATTCTTTTTAAGAAACAAGCAATGACAAAGACAAAAATCAAAAAAGCACTTCTGTTTCCAAACACAATAGTTCTCACCTGGGGTGCTTTTCCCTCAAGGGACATTTAGCAGTGTCTGGTATAGCTTCGGTTGTCACAGCAGGCAGAGGCAATGGATGCCACTCAAAATCTTAAAATGCACATAAGAGGCCCACTCAAAATGTCCACAGCACCAGCGTTAAAAGCCATCCTACATCAGCTAAGGTTGACTTTCTACTCTTCTGACTTTTAATAGGTACAAGTACATAATGTGGAACAGCCTCCAGACATCTCGGGGAAATCTACAAACATGAAACATACTTGCTGATCAGCAAGAGAGGTGCCAGTCAATGATGGTGATGGGCAGAGAGTCTCTGATGACTGATGTAGAGTGAACATTTTGGACCCAAAACTCATATGGCATTAGGAATTGAGGCCTTTCTGGGGTGATCAGGACTTAAGACAGACCACATGAATGGGACTAGGGTCTTTCTAACAGAAACCCCAGCGAGCACCCTTGGTCCTTCTATCATGAAAGGACACAGGGAGAAGACAACCATCTATGGCCAAAGCAGACTCTCACTAGACACCACATCTATCGGTGCCTTGATCTTGGATTCCCCAGCCTGCAGAATTTTGAGAAGTTAATTTGTTATAAACCATCCTGTCTGATGTTTGATGGTAGTAACTGGAATAGGTGAAGCCTGTGTCTATACCCTTGGTCACCTGCTCCCCTTGACAGTTACTGTCTGTAACTTGCCTCCGAGTACTCAAGCACAGCAATGGTCCTGTCCAGTTGATTTGCCATAAATTCTTTGCCTCAGGCAGTATTGCCAGACACATGTGCAATACAAATATTTTCATCACAAAGCTATTTGACCAGAAGGCAATATTGCCAGAGGAGAAAATAACTAGTTGACAGTTTGCTTTCAAGTGTGGTTGATACAAATGATGAGTATGCAGTGATACTAAGATACAGAGGGTAACAACTGCTTACATTGACTTGAAAGAAAACATGGAAGTGTAAAGTATGAGAGTGCAAAACATCAGATTTCAGACCATCTAGTAAGGGATAAGCTAGCAGCTTGACCATCCTTTGGTGAACAGAGACACCCTCCATTTCATCCAAACCAAACGGTGACCAAACTGTGGAGAGTATAAAAGAAGCTGCTAGTAATTCACAACAGTCTTTGAGAACATGAATTATCAACCCCTCAGCTCATTTAGATATTAGTCGTAGTTCTCGAATGCTGTCTTTACCAAATTTACCCAACAGATGCTGAATTTAACAGGAAAATTAGAAGCATTACAACATTAGCATATCTTTTCTACTTAGCAACATTACTGATGGTTTCATCGAGCTCTCAGATGCAGATGATGCACCCCAAGAGCTGGCTTCTTATTTGAAATTGCTGCACAAGAGGAGAGAGGCTGAGGGCCTTGAACGCACCCTGCACAACCCACCTTTCTTGCAGAACTTGGAACATCTGTCAAAAGACAGGTGATGAGACACCAAGAAATAACGGTGTAGAAGACCTTCACAACACAACACAAAGTTCAGTTACAAATTCCAACTCTACTATTTGGAAGCTCACACCTCTCTGAATGTCTCTTGACATTTTAGTCAAGAGGAAGTTTTCCTAATTTTGTTATTTTTTTTTCAAGATTTTATTTATTCATACAGAACTGGGGTACAGGCCAGAGATTCGGAAGGTGAGAGGGTTCACCAGAGACAGAGCCAGGAGCAGAACAGGCAGATGGACGAAGTCCACTGCTGAGGGGAGCAGCGGGCGGGTCAGGAGAGGTCTGCCGCGCCCTGTGGTCACCTCCTGGGCAGGCGGGATCGAACTCATGCGGAAGTGGCTTAAGCTTCTTAGTGCTGTGCTTTAACCCGCTGCGCCACCAGGGAGGGCCCATTGTTATTTTATTTTATTTTTTTAATGTTTCAATGTGTCCATTTTAATGCAGGTCCCTGCTTTTATTCATTATGATCTTCCTTCCCCACCCCCAACACCACCCCCGGCAAAAATACCTCACAGACAGTTAGATTTGTGGTGATAACATTTGCAGCAAAACGTCGCAGCCAAGGACTTACGGCAACGGTACGTGCCAGCAAAGGCAATGAATGGGGAGAGGAGTTTGTTGATGTAATGGAAGTCTCTTGTAGCTGGCTTTAAAGGAATCAGGCGTGGATGTCCTGAGTGGGCTCTGTCTAAATAGGGAGCCACTTAAAAGAATGAATAGAGAAGAGAGACTCCTCCTGTGAGCTCTGAAGAAAGACGTCATTTTAGTGGTGCAGCTGCCAGAAAATGCATCTGCCCACGGCCTGCAAGAGGGATGAGACCGCAGCCCATGCAAGTGCAGTCCCAGGCAGCACCCTGATGGCAGCATGAGGCACGAAACACACAAATGCACTGCTAATCCAGGCCAGCGCACTGGCCAGGGAATCTTCGAGATAATGAAAGCATCTGGCGTTAAGTTGCTGCTGAGTGTGTAGCCATGTGTTATGGAGGCAGCCTGTAAGGACCAGCCTGTGCTGTCACGCAGAGCCCTGGCCCTCCTCAGCCAGCAGCCAGCTCATGTTTGAGCTGGGAACCGTGCGTTGCAATGGACACACCCAGCTCCCGGCCCGGCCCTGGTTAGGCGCGGGCTTACTCCCTCACAGAGCAGAAGAGCAACACACACCTGCACTTCGAGAGCTGTAGGCCTGTGTTTGCTGATTTGGGAGCAGTGGGCAGCCCAAGGTCGAGAGGCAGCACCAGTGGTAGTTGTGACTCCCAGCTCAGAAACGAGTGAGTCCCTCCTCCCTAGGCCTGTCACAGCCTCCTCCCCCCGAGTTAGCGAGGCAGCCACTCACCCTTGCTTGGGCCCAGCCTGTGGGTCTGCTGCTCCTACAAGGCTTGTTGGGCCACCATTTTGTGACCTGCAGTTCTGCATCCTGTACACAGTCAGAACCGCCTCAGTAACCAGCCAATCAGTCACAGGGGCCAGACCTCACAAGGCGCCTTTCAAGCCAATCAAGAGCAGAAAAGTCGATCACCCTGGGAAGGGTGTGCTTCGTGAGTTCTGAGTGGACACGCCAGGAGAGGGCAGAGGGTCGGCTGATGATGGAAGCATAAACTTATGACCAGGAACACCCGAGGGGTAAGGATATATGACAAGGGACCCCAGAAACTGACCGGTGGATGCCTTGTTGGTAAGACTGAAATCCTGACTGGGAACTCGGGCTGGATCTCAATTATAAGCCCGAGTCATTAAGCGGACGAGAAGCACCTGGCGGCCAGACCCACCCTGCCTCCCACTGTCCATGTCAGTCCCACCCTCCCCTTTTCCCGTTCTCTACTTCCTCCTACAGCTGCTGCTTTTCATCAATAAAAAGGGCGGGATCTTGTTCCTCAGACACATCCTCCATTACGTAGCCTGCTCCACGACTCCCATTTCTTTATCAGAGTGGTGTTGCCCAACACTACAGCAGCCCGCCTCTGTGGCCTGGAGGTGGTCACCATTTAGCTCTGAGGGGGCTGACATGTTAGGCGTCAAAAGTGCCAGTCTGGCCTCTGACCTCAGGCAGCTACTTCCATGCTCTTTGGCCTTGGACCTTCATCTCTTCTTCAGGACACTCAGTGAGCCCAAGAAGTATGGAAGATGACTGGACTACGGGGTTCCTAGCAGCTCAAACCGCCTCAGTACTCCTCAAACCCGCACAACGCCTGCTCTCTCTCAATGGGGAAAGAGCGTTGCTGTGCACCACCTACAAAGAGACTTGAATTTTTCTTGTTATATTGTTACTTAGTCATGCACAAACAGAAATCTAGAAATAAATGCCCCATGTTTTAGTTCTCTTTCAACAATGAAATCGAAACAAAGGAACACATTGAACACAAAACAATAAAATTCCAATTAACAGTGTGAATTGAACCTGGTCGGGAGGTATTTTGCAGAGGTAGAATTGCCTTAAAAACGCAAACACAGCACCAGCTGTTGGGCTCATCTTTCAGGGCGGCACGTGGCCACTGCGCAGACCCCTGAGGACTCAGGCTGCCACCACCTCCCAGCCCCCGGAGTGACCTCGCCGCCAGGACAGCAGGACGGGCCAGTGCACTTGCACGTGTGCTGGGTGTCTCCTTCCCATGCTTGGCTCAGTTCTCCCTCTGTTCCTGAAGTATAGGTCCTTCCTTGACGGGCAAGCACCAACCTGGACTATGAAATCACAGGGCAGGACTCTGGGGAACCATTTCTTGCCTTGAAGTTCATCAAAAAAAAGCGCAAAACAAAACATTTTTGAACAATTCTCAGATGTGTCTATCAACATCTTTGCGGACCGCTCAGAGGCCTGCAGATTCCAATTTAAGACATGCTGGTCTCCGAAGAAAGGAAGAAAGATTAGAGAGCAAATACCATCACAAATGACATTTTTACTCGTGGCCACATTGCGTGAGAGTGTGAGAGAGACTTACGCTCAGTCACTGTGCCACAGTATCACTCACTGGAACTCACACTAAACACTAGCCCGTGTTAATCTTTTTTGCATTATTGCT